GTCCACCTCTTGCTGCTTTATAATGTTGCCCTTCTCCTACTCCTAACGGCGGCGCATAAGGAACCTGTGGGCGTTAGGGTACAGAACACGGATATATTTCAAGGCGCAACGTGGACGGCCTCGCTTATACATAGCCACGAAATCAGGATGCAAAACATAGTAAGGATAAGACCCAACGTGTTTATTAAGCTGTCCAAATTCCTATAAAAAACAGGGCTTATAAAGGATATAATGCTACTCTCTATAGAAGAAAAGTTACTTATCTTTTTATTAGTATTTACGGCGAATAATTCCTATTACCAGGTTGGCAAGCATATATAGTATAGCTCGTCAACTATATATTTATAAGCTGTCAAGCTGCCCTGCCAGTTTATTAGCAAGATCTAATATATTAGGAAGTATAGTCTATAAGGTTATTCCGGCCCTGCTTAAGCTCTATACTAAGCTTATAGTTCTACCCTAAAATAAAACGCCTAATACTATCCTAGATAACCTAAAATAAAACCTAGCTTTCTATAACTGCCTTAGCGCAATTAATAGTATACATCTGCCTGTATCTATTTATAGTAGTAAGAATTATTAGGCGGTATAGAAAGGTAAGGCGTAATAACTAATATAGAATATATTTACGGCTGTTAATTTTAAGTGCAATTTTATATACGCCTTAGCAGGATAAAAAAGTACTGCTTATAATTAGTAAGTATTTGCTGCAGTAAGAAACGCTAACTATCTATTTAAGGTGCCTTGCGGCTGTTACTATATAGTAGACGCTGGGTATAGCAATACTATTATTACGCTGGCGCTGTTCTATAGAGTCCGCTATTACCTAAAAGAAAATAAAAGAGCAAGGTTAAAGCTAGTAAATAAAAAGGAGTTGTTTAACTTATAACACGCCTCTCTGCGCAATACTATTAAGAGAATATTCGGCATTTTTAAATTAAGATTCTAGTACTTTAACGCGCTAAGAGCGAACTTCCCGCTAAATATATAGGTTTAAGTAGTCTACTACTATATAGCTATTTATAACTTTATTAATTTAAACCGCCTAAGTAATTTAAATATACCTGTAGAAGAGCTAGTATATCTAAATTCTTAAAACACTCTTAAAGCTAAAGCGGAGAGTAAGTTTAGTATAAATAATAGAAGAGATTAGTATAATAGGTCGTTTCTTCTATACCTTCTAAGTATTATATACTAAGGCAGGGTATAGGTTAAGTTGTTGTTAGGGTGCAATAGTCTTTAAAAGGTAAGGTAATAATTAATTAAGGTATAAAACGGGGTTATTACTTCTAATAGGTAGTATTAAAGTCTTAAGTTAAATATAAGGTTCCTATTTATACAAAGGAGCGTCCTTATATATAAGAAGTCCGTCCTAAAAAATCCGTTTACTTGTTCTGCTCTTAGAGCTTATAGCCCTTAAGCGCCTTAAGCCCGATAAGCGCTCGCTCGGCTCTATACTTACTTTTCTCTGCGAGCTTAATAAGCTATTATATAACCCTGTCCTATTTTTAGATTATTCCTATCTACTAGCAGTCTATAGAAAAATCTAGGATTTCTATACGTTTTATATATAACCCTTTTAGTCCTGTAACCTAGTTCTGCGTAATTAGTTTTATCTACTTACTTATTTCTATAAGTGCCTCTGCGCTTAAGTTGTTTATATTGCGGGTTATAACACTCGCTCCCCCTTCTAAGGCTTTCGGCCCGAAAATATTTCCGTGGTGGGGTCTTAGATAAGTAGCTAGCGATGCCCTATTTATTAGGCTGTTATTATACCGCTCTGTTTTTTCTTTTATAATATCTAACGCCTTAAAAGCCAAAAAATAAGAAAGCTGTCTTATACTTACTAATTATATTAACGCGTCTAATTTAAAAGTTATACCTTATTCCCGGTGTAAGTCTCGGGGTTTATTATATATAGTTTCTACACCTAATTTAGATTGTTATACAGCCTGCGTTCGGGCGCAACAATTAAACTATAATATTACTGGCATTTTAGCAGCTGCCTGTA